CCAGCACCAGCACCAGCAGGAACAGCAGCAACAGTAACAATAACACACTGTGAATGACAGACGGAGAAGTTCACAAGTTCAAACGCGAACTCAACGGTTTGGACGTGGGCCAAATTGCTATATGCCATGCCCACAACCCGCTCTAACTTCATATCCAATATAAACTCCAGCTACAGCTACAGCTACAGCTACAGCTATGGCATCAGTTCCATTCGCCTTCGTTCCAAATGTTGCGTATAAAATGCGCATAAATAAAATGCTTGGTAACTTGGCGAGCAGGCAATGAAGCGCACAAATGCACAACGGACGTGGCAAAAAAAAAAAAAAGAAGCCAACAGCATTGAAAACGAGCCAAAGCTAAACGGTAGTTTTTCAATATAAAAAAAATAAATAAAAATAAATAACTTCACCTTGTTGCATTCGTCCAAACCCAGCCGCGCCAAGTCCAAGCAAACCAAATCCAACCCAACCCAACCCAACCCAACCCCTCGCCAATGGAGCAAGCAACCATCCCTTTTCAGGATTGCGTTGCCACGCTGCTGTGTGCATCGCTGGCGTTGCCGCTGCGCATGCGTGCCAGAGCTTAAATGCCTTTGGCATACGTCAAGTGCCAGCGTCAAGCGTCGCATCGAGCGTCTGCATCTCTGTCTGTCTGTCTCTGTCTATGTCTGTCTGTCTCTGTCTGTTTGTCTCTGTCTCTGTCTGCCTGTCTGCCTCTGTCTGTTCATCTGTCCATCTACCGGTGTGCTGGAATGACGTTTAGTGATAGCCGAGCAGAGAGCATCACAGCTATGTCATCAGACCTGCAACGATGGTCAGCCAGTTCTTTTTAGTTTTTAGTTAATTATTTATTAATGACCAGCAATTCGATAAACCATTTTATTTACATTATTATTTACTATTGCTTTGCTCAGCTCATCGCTTTTAACTTCAAAACGGTTAAATACAAAAATGGTGTGTGGTTTTTATGTAATTCATAGAATCAAGATGCAATTAAGTTCAATGCTCTTTATAAATAATTATTTTAATCAATAGAAAAGTTAATGCGAATCCCTCTAAGATATATATATTTGACAGATTTGCTGCAGAATTACATACAAATTTTACCAATCATAATTGCATAGACGATCTATATATGTCTTTATATACCATTAAAACTACAAAATTTAGTTTTTAATATAAATTCTAGTAAAGTAGTTCCCTTCTTGAAAAGTTTATACATAAAATACATGGACAAACAAATAACATTCTTTATTATATTAATGGAATATCAATATGCAAGATTCTAAATTTGTACACTAGTTCCACTGGAGATATAAATCTCCTAATGAGCAAAATGATCAACTAATCTAGACCTCTTATTCTTTTTTTTTTTTATTTAATTCGCTCCATCAAAACAAAAAGAAAATAAAAATAAAAATAAAAAAAAATGTTCTGCTGCGAAAATGATATCGTGTTTTGAACTGCAATATACATATATATGTACATATGTATATATGTACATATGTATGTATAAGCATTCAACTAAATGGCATGTATCTTGAAATTCGTTTCGGCGGCGCGACGTTCGTTGCAACTGTCACCCGATGCGGCCGTTGCACGCATTCCTGCAACTCTTAACTGAAACTTGGAGACAGGCATCTTCTTCACTCCAGTCGTTTGGATGTCCGTTTGTTTGTTATTCGGTTTTTGTGCAGTTTCAATTAGAAATGCATGATCTTTGATTCGTATGTGTTTATTTGGACTACATTAGACGATCCGCGTCAGAGCGAACTTGCAACGTCTCAAACTTGCAACGGATTGTGCAGCCAGCTACCAGTTGTCATTAATATTCTACTAATGTTGATACACTAAATATATGGATATATTATCCAAATAAATGTAATCTAAATGTAATTGTTGACTGGAAAAATTGCAGCAAACAAACTCCCATATTATTTTTTGCCTTTGAGTATAAGCTCGATAAGAATGTTGAGAATATAACTTTGAGTATCATTTAAAATGTAATTTATCTCGATTTGTTGCGTGTGGTAACTTTTCTTCTTATTTTTTTTACCGCACATCATTTTTGACTGGGATGTCTTTGCACTTTCCAGCATTGTGCAATTGTCTTAAATGACATTGCATGCTGAAATGGCATTAATTAGCACACTCTAATGGCAACAGCGGGGGCAGCCACGCTATCAACGCTTGTCTCATTATCATTACTAAAATTAATGTTATCGTCGTCATCTTCATCATCATCATGATTGTTGTGTGGGACAGTCGCGACGACTTTTTGCATTTCAAATGAAGTGATTGCTAATGATAATTGTGTCAGCGATGCGACATAATCGACGCAATATGATGTTGATAATTTCATTAATTAAAACGCGCACATCAATTGACACAAGCATCAGCAACAACAACAACAGCAACAACAACAACAGCAACAACAACAATCTGTGTTCAAGTGTTGGAAATTGAGCGAGGAATTTAAGTTCCATGGAGTCAGATGCGACTTGCACGATGTCGACTTGAATTAAGTAACTAACTCAATTGGCTGCTGCTGCTGCTGCTCTGATGCTGCTCTGATGCTGCTCTGATGCTGCTCTGATGCTAGTCTGATGCTGATGCTGATGATGAGGCTGAGGCTGTGGCTGATGGTGATGCTGTCAATAAGCCGACTGCCAACAATAAAGCGCCATTAAAATGCTGATGAAGTGGAAATGCAATCTGCCAGCCGCGCCTTTGCCTCCTTTGAAAATATGTCGGGAAGTTTTATGGCGGAAATACGAGTAGTTGATTAATTTTGCAGCCCCAGCTCCAGCCCCAGCCTCAACGAAAACTCTTAAAAGTTATTAGCGTGGATGGCAATGCTAGAATTAGATTGCCAGACGGTGCCACTAAAGTGCCAGCAACAACAACAATATGAATGTTGTTATATAGTTTGGCGTTAGCAGAATTTGCAAATTGCCTGCAATATTGCAATGCTGTTGGCCCATTTAATGGGCTCTTTACCTAACTACAAATTGATAATATCGATAGCAGACATGACATAATCAGCAGCTCCGTAAAATGGTGTGGGTCTCAGTCGGTATGCATATCTGTGAAGAGAACTCAAATTGAAATGACAATGCGAATAGAAAATGCTGCATTTGTGATGCGATTAAAAGCAAAAGTCATGAAAGGAGCAATAGCAAGCTGTATGGCAAGTATGGAGGGCCGCGTTAAGTTGGCGATAAAAAGTCATTGAAGTCCACTCTTGTGAAAAAGTCAATGAAACTACGGCCAGAGAGCGACAACTTTTATTGCCCACAACCCACATTGGCCCACAGCATGACTGCTGCAGAAACGAGCCCATTTTAGAGAGAAAGGTGAATTCTTTCTTTCTTTGGTTCCAGGTTATCCGCACGAGGGAAGTGTAACAAATAAACTTTTGTTGCACGCAAAAGTGGCACACAGAATAGTTACAAGCTTCGCTGAACAACAACTAACTGCATTCAAGCCAAAGGGCATCCCTCGATTCCAAAGTTCGCGAAAACAATTATGCTTCGCTGCGAGGGGGATAATCTAAGCAGAAATAAATATTTGAATGGGCCGAATGACCCTCAACAAACGAACCAGAAGTTCAACTGTTCCCCTAAACAAGCTTTAATACGTTCAATCTGATGACAGAATCATGGGCCGACCTTTAAGGAAGCTACTAGGTTTAACTTCTTTTTTTTTTAAATATATATATATTGACCTTGAAAAGAGTTTTTTGGTTTCTAATTATAAAGTGCTTGTAGAATTTTCAAGTCGTGCTAGTGAAATCGGGTGACATTTTCTTATTGTACTTTTATAAAACTCTAGAAAAGTATACCATCTTTTTTCTTCTACTTTTTTTATTATACTTAAAATATTAGAATATTATTTTAAGAATATTTTCGGTAATATTAAGTACGCCCAAGATATTGTACCGTTGTAGATGGGAGTTAATCAACTGCTAAATTTCAGTATAGAGCTTAAAATATTAAATAATAATAATATTATTATTATTTTTCTTTTTAGCAAGTATTATTTATATGTATCCACAGGGTGACATGTCCAAGCTTATCTCGATCCCTTAACTTAAATCTTTCGATCGATTATTACTATGGTAGCTATATGACATGTGAGTGAAACAAAACGACGCATATGTGTTAAGTTGCAACAAGATATCTTTAAAATAGAGAGACTATTACTTATTAAAAAAAATGGATGTAAGCAAACATACGTTCGACTAGGTTAGTCATGTTGATTATTATTATTATTATTATTATTGGGGAAGTTGCATCGCGACCTGTTGGACCTATTGTGCCACCTTCTGAGCGTATAGCTCTTCCATCAGTCCCAGATCCCGTGCGAATGGATCGTTGTTGGGTTGAGGTCTTCTATGTCTCTAGAATTCAAGGCATGCAACCCTAGGATGCTACATCTTCTTCTAGCTAGTGCGACACATTCTGCTAGGATGTGTATCGAGGATTCCTCCTCGCTTTCACAGAACCTGCAGAGATAGCTACTATATATACCTAGTCGAGTTAGGTGACTTCTTAGTCTACAGTGTCCCGTGATTAGACCGGTAAGTATCCTAAGATTGTTCTTTCCCATGGTTACAACTTGCTTAAATCGCTTTAGATTGTAACCACCTAGGAGACATCTGGCTTGCCGGAGGCCTACTGCCTCCGACTAGTCAGTCATGTTGATCAAGAATATACACAATTTATGGAATCAGAGAGGTCTCATCCAATGCGTTACACGTGTCACGAACAATTATAATATGCTCTACAAGGATATAAAAGAACATGAGGAGAATAAAATGTACTTTCATATTTTGTACAAAAATTGAAGGTCAACAATAACATTTAAACTTCGACTATGACTTTCTATTTGTGGTTTTTGTTTATTGTTAGTAATTTCAAGGAGGTAAATGATTAACCAATTAGAAGCGCAGCATGTGTTGCACGCATAGTTATTTATTGAACTAGAATTGCGCTTACCACAAATAAATAGAGGCCAGGCTGTGGCAAAGCTTGCCACTCGTTCAATCGACCTTTTGGGGGCTGGTACTGGTACTGGTGGACGTGGAGGTGGAGTGGAGGGTGACTTGGCGGTGGTTTAGACGCTGTGGGAGTTGCAGTCTCTAAAGTCGATGGCAAAGCAATTTAATTGCGTAATTAAACTAAATGCATTCAGCGATGTCATTCCATCTCTCCCGGGTATTTAAAACTTGGTCTCTGCTGCTTTTATTGTTGTTCAATCGATGTTGTTGCTGCTGTTGCAACTGTTGCGGTTAATATTCAGTTTGCACTGCGGGAGCTTTTAGGATACTTGAGTTTTTGACAGCTTGGCAGTTGTTGTTGTTGTTGTTGTCGTCCTCTGAACGATTCTGCATTCACTGCTTGAATGCCCAACGGACTTTTAGTCTAGACTTTAGATTGTTTTTATGTTTTACTTATTACGATTAGTTTTCAATTTGTTTTTTTCATATTTAATCCAATGATTAAATATTTAATTAGTTTACTAATTTATCTATTGATGTGGCACTTTGAGAATTATTCAATGATTATTTTATTATCTGCTGATCGAATTCACCTTAAACTAATTTCAGCCGTAATGTGACACTTAATGATGTGTATATGTATTATAAGCCCGGATTCTTAATCGCTTAATCCAAAAGGAATATCTACAAAGAAAAAATAAATCTTTTGTTATTTGAAGCCATGAGTAAAATATATTTTATATATAGTCTTAAAAGTCGCAAGTTCTTTTCTGTTAGCAAAAGACTTCCTGATTTCTGCTGTAGAGCAATGAAAACGTCTAAAAATCAAAGTGTTCAAAATATATATTAAAAGAAAAATATATAATAAAACGCATTGTGAGTTTTGTTAGAATATCTTGGTAAAAATAATTTGCCTAATATTCCTAGATAAGATAAATTCCCAAAGAAATCTTTGAAAAGTTTACAATAGGCTTGTGATGCTGACTAAAATTATATATACTTCAACATATTGTAAGAGAATTATAGGGTATGAAAGTGTTATATATTGAAGGGCTAGATCGAAAAGTATTTTATCAATGTTTTGCCAAATGTTTACACTGGAAAAGTTTTAAGGGAAAAACCGCCTGTGCTTGCCACCAAATTTTGTGAAAATATTGAAGTGCCAAAAGCGGTTGCGTCAACAACTTTGAAATGGCAAAGCGAAAAATGCAATTCGATTGACGACGCGTCGCAACGCAGCGTTGCCGGAGACCACAACTTAAGGCACTTAAGGGCCACTTAGGCGTTTGCGTTTGAGTTTGAGTTTGAGCTTGCCATGCCGCGCGATGCAGCAAGCAAACACGCCCACCGCCCCAGTCGGTCGGCTTTTAACTTATCAACATTGTAATTTTTCTTAGTGAAAAGTTCACGGCAATGAAATTGTAAGGAAGCAGCAACGAGATCCAAGTCGTCAAGTAAGTGCGCCAGAGAGCAACTTTTATTATGCCCAGGGTGAGAGGGTGGGCATTGGATGAGGCTAAACATAAGGACCCAAACTGCTGATGAGGGTGATGAAGGAATCCGCAGCTGAGTCAAGCGCTCACTCACACACACACACACACACACAGAGCAGCTGAAATAAAAAGCGGCAGAAATAACTATGTTGAAATCACTTAGCTTACAAAATGCAATAATATGTACAACGTCGACGCCGACATCCAATGCAACTGCAACATTAGTAACGTTTACTGCTCTGTTGCGGCTGTTCTTGTTATTGTTGTTGTTGTTGTCGCTGATGCCAAGCAAGAGCCAAAGGGCATATGTATGCAAAAACGAGTAGGAAGGCAATAGTTAAGCGATATCGACTATGACCACACCCTGTACTCAGTCAGTACACATATATAATTTCAAGTGATTTTAATTCTGTGGCTAAATATAATCTCATTGTCGCATTTAGATCACATTTAAATAAATATACTGAGAACATATACATTATCTCATATTAAATATTTATATAATTATTCACTTTTTATATTTTATATATAGTTGCAAGTTAACTATTATTTTAATTTTTGCTTCTAAGAGAGTATTTCCATTGATTTGTTTATATCCTTTTTGTATAATATATATTGTATAAATCCAACGCGGATTGGCATTACTTCAGAGTGTTTTGTTTCGCTTCATTGAGCTACTCCAACAGGCAACAGGAGTTTTAATAGGCAATACTTGTAACAAATGCGCACAGAAAATGGGATATCAAAAACACCTTACCTCTTATTGTACGAAATAATAAAATATTGCATTAAAGAAGTGTGTTTATTCATTCAGAAAACAACATTGTTCTGAATTTGCAACATTTTCGTGCTCAAATACAATTCGGAAATGTTTCGAAATTTAGCATTAATTCCACATGAATCGAAACAGTCAAAGTTATTGTTATTCAAGTTTAAAATGTTTATTCAAGCTTAAAATGTTATCTTTGAAGATTTAATGCACATTGACTTAAGAACTTGAGTACGTAAATGGAAATAATGCATCTGTTTTGATTGAAATGATGGCAATCATACCTAGACCAGTCCGAAAAAGACTTTTAATTCTCAATTCACCCTTCGCCTGAAAATGGCATTGTTCTTCTGAGTGCAGCATCTATTTACACACTGTTTTTCTCATTTAACGTAGTTATTCAGTAACGAAATAAGTTTACCATTGAGTACCAATAGTCTCTCTTTGCTATTAAAGAGTATCTAAATGGAAACTAATATTATTAGTATTTTGGCCCGAAGAGGCCCGACAGTTGCAGTAATGCTTCAGGCTGATGTGTCCGTAACTCGGTAGGAAGGTGTCTTCTGCTGCATTTGTTTCTTGTGTAAACAGTCAAATGCACTTATAACACGAGTACAGCTGCAAGAGCCACACAAGAGTCCACAAAACCGAGCTCAAGCGCAACTATAAACAAAATACCAATGACATCAACGTGACAGCAGCGACGGCAGTTGCATTCCTACAGATTGGACTTGGTTACTAGTTACTCGTATTATATATTTTGTATATATTTTGTTTGTTGTCTCGTTGTTACTGCCATCGTATCGTGAAGCCAAAAGCCGTGTGAGTCGAACAGTCTGGCGACTAATTGGTTTATTTATGGCCTTTATATGTGCGATATGTTGTGTTGGCCCAAAAGTCGCGACTGTGTTGCAGCCGAATTCGCCGGCGAGGCATTGCCGCCACTGCCACTGACCTGTGGACACTTTTTCGCCATAATTGCTAGCAAGCTAATTAGGAACCAGTGTGCTTGGCATATATGCGATTCAAATATTTGCCAACGAAATATTGCAAAACACACACGAGTCAACAATCAATTATATCGTCTGGCCAAAAATTCTCTCTCAATCGAACACAGAGCCCCCAACCTCCTCCTCCTCCCTCATTCCCACCCCCATCCGTTTCTTTTTCGCAATCCAATTTGAAGTGACCCGTCAGGCGAAGCTTGTTGAAAAATTCTTTGCCATTGCAAAAGAACAACAACAACTGATTAGTTATTTAAAAACTCCATTAGAACATGTTCATTTGCAAAAGGACGTGCTGGGGGAAAGGGCGCGGAGATGTGGACGCGGACCGGGTACTTGGCTGGTTAACTCATTTCTCATTTCTCATTTTCCCATTAACTTGGGCAAATACTACGTCATCATTAAGCGAGCCATGGCCAAAGCAAAAGCCAGAGCACAGGGCTTCAAGCTTCAGATGTATTTTGCCAAAAAAAAAAAGAGGAAAAAAAAGACAGCTAAAAAAAAAATTCAAAGCGCAGGCGCCAGCAGCCGAAGCCGGGAGGAAACTCAACTCAGCTCAGCTCAGCTCAGCTCAGCTTAGTTAAATTTTGCCAGGGCGAAAATTAATTTTCGTGTACGAAGACGACGACTGTTTCGATGGCTAAGGCATTGCCATTTTGCCAGGCTTAAACAACAGCCAAAGGGCTGCCATCTCGTTCCCAGGCTGGACAGCTTGCTGTGCAGTTGATGCATGCAATTAGCGTTCCCTGTTTGCTTGTTTATCCACAGAGCGCCAGTAGCGGGCAGCACTTTTCGGCGACCACTCCAAAGAGGATCTCCCCAATAACAAGGACCAAAACACAGCTCAGCTGTTGGAGCCGTTGTTGAGCTGTGTAGGCTGCTTAAGCCGGGTCGGCATCAATTGCGGTCAGCGGTCGCCTCAAGACGACGTCAACCAGCCAGAAGCAATTACATAACCTTTGAAGCTCACAGGCCCAGTCTTTAATTTGTCCCAAATGGAACACAAATATGACCACATATATATTCACAAAGTTAGGGACGGAAACTATTTTAAAGTCTTAAATTTGATGTGCTTTGATTTGATTTTGTTTGATTTTATTATATTACGATCTTATGCTGAGTCCTAACAGCTGATTTGAGCAATTAGCTATTAAGTTGAATGCATTGAAAGGCCTAAAACCATATTTATGGTAGGTAATCATTACTTATAACTTCTCGAAAAATAAGACACATATTTTATGCTTTTCTTCTAGTAATCCAGTTCAGAGAATATAATAATTGAGATATGGATACACTGTATGACCTAAGACCTGGTGTACAGGGTATCTGCCTATCAAGCATTCACAATAAAACATTTTTTAGTTTTGTGATTTGTTAGCTACTATGGCTTTTAGTGGGGCCTATGCAAGTGGCAAACGGGCGGCGGTAGCAAACAGCTTTAGACACTTTAACACATTCCACTGGGAATCCATCCACACACACATACACAGAGACACAAAGTGCAACACCAACACCAACACCAAAACACAACACACAGAGATACACACAGGCAGTCAGCAGGCTGGGATAAGCATTTAGATGACTTTGAGACCGGTTTTCGGCGCTATGAAGTCACCAGGCAGCAACCAGCAACCAGCAACCATCAACCAGCAAAAGCACCATGAGCACTAACTAGAACTTGTGGCCGAAAAGGCCAAGCTGCAGCTGGAGCAGTCTTGCAACCAGGCCAACTCAGGCCAGGCCACTCAGTCGGACACAGCCAACAAGCGCTTCAATCCTCATTGACGAGCATCAGACGACAGTGGCTGGCAGGAAA